AGCATCAATAGCGAATATGAAAGATGAGAAACTCATAAAGAACTGTTTGAAACCAATTACCTGATGGGACAGTACCTTCAATAATAGACTTATTATTTAAATAAAACTAACATAAAAAAACGTGAATACTCAAAATAGTGGAAAACATTGTTCAGCTATGATGGTAAACTAGCTAATCGATCAAAGGTACAATAATAACAGAAATCGGTAACAACTACAGATTAAACTTAAAACTGTTTGACTATCAAACAGGTTTTTATTCCGATCACGAACCGATATAGGTTAGATCTCTAGCAAACTAAACAATCTCCCTAACTACATATTAATAGTTTTCATGTGCTCATCAGTGACTACTTTGGAGAGAAAATTTGTTAAGTTCTAGTAAGAATGTGTAGAGATTAAGGAACATACTCATCACATACACTGAAAGATTGTCTCAAAGCATCTTGAGTTGATTGAAGTTAGATATGTACACCAATGGATTATTACTCATTGGTAAGAAGGTTATTCATTCACACTTGAGAATGGAGGTTATCAATTCAATCTTTGTTTGTGAAGTTGTGAATATACACTCCTGAAGAATCCTGCAATGGGACGAAACAGATATCCAGTGTTCCCTGGTTTCTTATTGGCTTTTTCTCCTTAGGTCGGTTTAAAATCTCATTAAACTTTTAAAGATTACTATCATTTATTCATTGGTATCAGATAGATGTTAATTTCTGATACTGACCACTTTCAGACTGTGGTGTGGGTTACTTATGTCCATATAGATAGTATATAACGCTGGTCAGGCATAGGATGTATTTCAGTAGAAGATCGAGATTGGAAAGGACGGTAACAGAACGAAATTGGTATGAAAAGGCATGAACAATGAAATCTGAGACCATGGACTGATATTTGCAAAAGGAACAGTCAATTTTGAGATGATGGATTGATATTTTGCAAATTAACTATTTACTATATGGTTCTCAGATTTTATTGAGATGTTCTGTGATTTCGTGTCAAGTACATTCGATCGTCTTCATCCGTATTCTTGTTCACTACAGGACGTCTAAAACCAATTTATGTATGTACTTACTTACTTACGTACGCCTGTTACTCCCAATGGAGCATAGGCCACTGACCAGCATTCTCCAACTCACTTTGTCCTGGGTCTTCCTTTCTAGTGCTATCCAATTTTTGTTTATTTTTCTCATGTCTGTCTCCATTTCTCAACGTAATGTGTTCTTTGGTCTTCCTCTTTTCCTTCGGCCTTCAGAATTCCAAGTGAGGGCTTGCCTAGTGAAGCAGTAAGGTAATTTCCTCAGTGTATGTCCTATCCATTTCTAGTGCTTCTTCCTGATTACTTCCTCTGCTGAGACCTGATTTGTTCTCTCCCATAAATCTATGTATGTATCCGACACATATTCCTATCTAATAATTCTTTTTACCGGAAATCATACCATAGAAAACTAAAGAAAAATTACGAAGTGAATGTATACATATATCAATACATTCATAACATTCAATAAAACATAACAACAATCTATGAATGTATCAACTGTTCACATGATGTATTTACAAATTCATCTTTCAAATACAAAATAAAGACTTTATTTAGACAATCAAAGCATAACACCTTTTCTAACTACTAGCCAGCTTAAACTGTATATAGTGCAAAGAAAATTGAATATATTTCATGTACAAGTCCACAGAAAATGTATAACATACATTTGTTTTATTACCGTCTCTTATATGTACAATTGTATTTATTTTTGCTTTCCAGTATCCAATATCTTGACACCTTTTTTGTCATACAATAAGTACTTTAGAAAAGTTTGTTTTGAATTAAAAAATAAAAAATAAAATGTCAAGGAAGAGTACTCGGTCAAGGTCAAGGTGTTTGAAAAGCAATGAAAAGAATAATTTATATGAGTAAAAATTCTGTTTATATGTTTATTATCAAACTAGTATAATACCTTGACATAGTGCTAAGAATCATAATTGTGATTGTTGTACAACTTCACTATGATTGTCAAATAAACTAGGTGATATGTAAAAGTGTCAGTAACAATATTTAAGAAGTAATGAAATATAAAACAATTAGTCCTTTTTGATAAATTTCGATAATGGAATGATTACAGTATAGAACAGTAATGAAATAAATAGTCAGCTGTTTGGTAAGATAATAAAACACTATAGTTCATCAATTTCGGTTACAACTTTAGATAGATAGATGAATATACAATGCGAGTAAAAAGAACCTGAACTAAAAGAAATGGAAAGAAAAAGATCATAGAAGAAATTTACATACTGCCTTCTCGATTCGATTTCGTGAAATATGTTCAAATTGATTAAATTTTATAAAATTTCAAACTTCTTATTTATCGCAACTTGATAATCGTATACAGAATACTATGATAAATTCTAACTGAATCCATACTTCGGAAGAAATAAGTACTTCGATATTCTGATAACAAAATTGAATGTTCTGTTTTACTTACTTACTTACGTCTGCTGCCGCCCCCCGTGGAGGAGAATAGGCTTCCCATCAGATTTCTCCATCCAAGTCTGTCCTGAACAACCAATTTCAGTTTCTTCAGTTCCTATTGATCCTTTTCATACCTGCTTCCAATTCCCGACACTATGAATTCTTTGGTCTTCGCCTTTTCCGTTTTCCTTCAGGATTTCAAGTTATCGCTTGCTTCATGATGCAGTTTCATGATTTCCTCAATGTATGTCCTATCCATTTCCAGCGTATTTTCTTAATTTCCCCTTCAGTTGGAAGCTGGTTTGTTCTCTTCCACAGTAAGCTATTGCTGATGTTATCCGGTCAATGGATATTGAATATCTTGAGTAGACAATTGTTTATGAATACTTGTATATTTTTGATGATGATTGTAGTAGTTCTCCAAGTTTCAGCTCCATGAAGTAGGACTGTGTTGACGTTCGTATTTAAGATTCTGATTTTGATATCGGTTCTCTAACTGTACAAATGCTGTCTGTTTTACCAAATTATTCTATTTTCAGATGATATATTTCAATTCCAATAAATTTACAATTCAACTCAAAAAATTCAGTTGAATAACGGCTCCTCATAAAAATGTTTAAGATAATAGTAAGTGCATAACTTATAATAAATTGCATACAGATCATATGCATTGGATGTGTGATGAAAATGATATTCGACAAAATCAACATTAGAGTATATCTTTTCAAAACATTAAGCAGACTGAAAAGTAGTCCCGATTCTTATAAAAGATACAATAGTCAATGATCCATAGTTTAATTATGGTTACATAGTAAAATGTTCTGACTACGATGCAATATATATATCCAACAGATTTTTCAAGAACCTAAGCTCAAAACAAATAAACAATGTAGAACTGTTGTTCAATCATAGAAAAATCCATTAAAACTTAAAAAACAAACTTTGGTGAGACTATAATTTACGGACGACCTTTGAGAGACGTTAGACTGACCTTGAGTGTCCACTTAATAACCAGGATCAAATGAGGGTTATGAACCTTTGTGGGGAATTAGAATTGTAATTTACATTTGATGATTAAGCTTAGGAGTTAAATTTCGGGTTTTCATCACTAACTGACAACTATAATTCCAAAACCCTATTTATCCAAATGGATGAGCGAATCCGAGACCTATTATCTTATACGTGATTGGTTCGTCCATAAATTATAGTCTCACCAACACTTACAAAATCCTTCATCTCAAGTCTACACTGGATTGATTTTAACAATACTACAAAGTAACTAAGACGTTTTAAAAGTCAGTAGTTTCATAGCACAAGTGCATCATATAGAGTGTCTTTCAAATTGCTTGAATAACAATGAAGGAAGAAAATAAAATAGGGCCTGACTTTAATACTTTCCTCACACAAATTTACTTTATCGACACAAATATGGTAATAGCTTTTCTTTATATAAACAGAGGCTTCTTTTATGTATCATATATTTATTAAACCTAACAATTTACATAAGTTTGTTCTCTTTATCGATTCATTCATTCAATAACTGAGAATGTCTTCATGCAGAAGAAATTTAATCCAGTTATGAAATATAACATAAGCCGAGATAAAGCTGTTGAGATTAAATGGTGAAAAGTCAGTAAAAACATTTTTTTTCTTTTGATCACATTGTGAATATGCACTACCTAGTAGTCCTATACTAGGACGTAACTGTTGCTCAATACTTTCTAGCTCTTACAGATCATTGAACCAAGAGTATTTAGCGTTGTTTTTTGGTAAAAAAACAGTCTATGCATTAAATCATGCATTAACTTAATTTTGGCGAACGATTTTCGGCAGATATCTAATAGAAATGTTAGTTGATCTACAAAAACCATGTCTGTTAATCTATGGTAACTTCTTGTTGATCGACTGAAAAAAAACTTTATTCAAAAGTGGTAGAGAAGTAGATTTTTTGACAGAGTATTCGGTTTCTCAACATCAAATCACAGGCTTGAAGCTAAAACATACCATTTTTCAGTTCGATCACCTGAATGATAATGGATCGCTCTTGTACAAATAACATTTGACTAAAATCTAATTATATAAATCTAAAGATAGGACTCAAATTATAACTAGAACAAAGCTATCATGTAAACAACTCGCTCCGTTTAACTTTATAATGTAATGAACAAGAACACGAACGGGGACAATCGAATGTACATGATCACGAAATTACAGAACATCTCAATAAAATCTGAGAACCATATAGTTAATTGTTAATTTGCAAAATATCAATCCATCATCTCAAAATTGACTGTTCCTTTTGCAAATATCAGTCCATGGTCTCAGATTTCATTGTTCATACCTTTTCATACCAATTTCGTTCTGTTTCCGTCCTTTCCAATCTCGATCTTCTACTGAAATACATCCCATTTCTGACTATCGTTATATACTACTTATATGGATGTAAGTAGCTCACACCATAATACTACTTAGATTCATTCTACTAATTGATTTTCATATTATATTTTGTTTATTTTATTTCGATTTATAGGAGTTTTATTCGACGTAAACAATTATTGAAACGAAGAAGAAATCCTAAATACTTATATTGTTCTAAATATCCTAAATCAAAACCTATTAATCATTGTTATATTAAAGCTAATAATTCATGTTATTGGTCACCAACTAAACCTAAACATAGTAATTCATTTTCAATATGGTCTGAAGGTCAATCATTAAAATATCATCAGAATAAACATAGAATATCTTCTACTTCATCATTGAATCAATCTAATTTAATGGTTAATTCACCACAATCACATTTTTATCCAAATAATCATTATACAAAAGATTCCAAGTGTATTCATCGTCAATCTAATTCATCAAATAATGTAATTAATAATAGTAATGAACGTAATTTTATGAAATATAATTATCATCAACATGATGAAATATATGGAATGGGAAATCATATGAATATTGGTTATTTAGAATATTGTAAACGAATGAATAATGCCAAATCAACAATGATGTTTCCAAATTCTCAAAGGTTAATAGTGTAAGGAAAATATTTTTACATGAATTATTCTATTGAAATATTGCATTTCCAATTAGAAATAATAATTAAATCTTCATGTATAGATGTTTACTTCTTATTAAGAAATAAATAGAGAAGTATTTTATTGATTGAGATCTTGACTTGATTAATGTTAGACCACCATTGAAAACCTGGAAGCACTGGACAGCCGTTTCGTCCTACTGTGGGACTCCTCAGCAGCGCCCACCCACGGTCCCATTCGCGGGATTCGATCCTAGGGCCGCCAGTCTCGTGCTCGAACGCTTAACCTACTTTACCACTGAGCCGGTATCCGATAGTGTTAATGTCTAACCTCAACCAATCCACGGAATTGCGTGACCATCTTCCATTGTACTGAGGTAGATACCTGTCTCTACCCAACACGGATTAGCTCCACTGGTCACGGCTTCTCACTAGAACTCCGAGAATTCCCTGACGAAGCTAGTCAATAGTGAGCACATGATAACATCAATCGATTCAAAATCTCAATCAATATCTTAATATTGTCCACAACCCTATACTGATAGAGAAGTATTTATCTGTATATTCAAAAATATATCTTGGCAATTACCCTGGCAACATGAAAATTTTATACTCGAACTCCTGTAATCTAATCTATTTAATTTTCCAAAGTTTATTCTTACTGATTTCTTCATCATTCTAGCTTGTTTTATTCTCTTGGAATGGCTAAAATGTCATAATCCAAACATATAGCACTCATTGATTGCTTGAAAACATATCTCACTGAAATAGACCTCCAGCAGTAAAATAAACTACTGTTTTAACTAACTGTTAGTTGGTTGAGTTTTTTATTTAAATATGTCTTGGTCGATAATAAATCACGATATTTTACGTTAAAGTATTTTGTTAGTACAGAGCTGTGAAGATTGCTGGATGTTATTACAATTTTTAGACGACGTAAGTAGGACAATCAATAAAAAACTAGGGAATACTGGATAACTGTTTCGTCTCATTATAAGATTCTTCAAGAGTGTACATCCAGGACTACACAAACAGAGATTGAACTAGTGACCTTCATTCTCGAGTATAAATGAATAACCTTCTTATCAATGAGTAATAATCCATTGGTGTACATATCTAACTTCAATCAACTCAAGATGCTTTGAGACAATCTTTCAGTGTATGTGATGAGTATGTTCCTTACTCGCTACACATATGATCTCCATTGATCATGGCTTCTCAGTAGAACCCCGGGGATTTTGTCAGTCGTCCAGAGGTTAATGGTTAGTGTGTAAGAATGAACGTCATGGATTCAATAACCAGTTGCGAGTTCGTGGATTTGCAGTATTACAGAGTCCGACACGAAGACGAAACAATCGTCCAGTGCTTCCTGGTTTTCAACCTTCGAAATACACTTACACGTAAACACATTCGATATAATACGAATGTATTACTTCCTGTTTTATAGTTCCACCATATCTGTGTACTGTATCTACACAAATTTTGCACAGATCTATCAACGACTGTCCATAATCTTAAATTTTTTGTTCGCACATTATGTATACATTTCTGAAATTGATATTTTCAAAAGGTTATTTTGAATATTTTTCTTACTCTTCATTATGTTTTAGACTCTTGATCTAATTGGAACTTTCCATTTCTTTACTACATGATAGCTTCTAGTTGTTTGGTCAGCAGATTTCCTTTATTTATATAGATTATTCTTTATATTGTATAACATCTTTTTCTTGATCAACATACGTTAATATAGAAACAAGGTTGTTGAGTAAATCTAATTGATAAGAGAGCAGAAAACATATTGCAAATGCTTCAGTTATTTTTCCTACTGAAACTCATGTTTGAGACAATAGTTGTTATCTTTCGGGTCATTCATTAGTGAATTCTTATCTTTAAATATTTTAGCATTTCTCTTGACAAAGAAGTAAGATATCATAGTAATCTGACTAATAGTGAATCAGTGTATGATAACCATCTTTATACAGTATACTTGTTGTTCTCAATAGTATTGTTTCATAGTGAAAGAACCACCTTAGATTGAATCAGTCTTAATGTTCAGTTTTAATTGTGCTTCTTAAAGAGTATTTCATACCTTGGAGAAATTTCTTAAAGTTCTTTCATGAAAATTTAAAGGGAATTTTTTCTTTACAATAAACATGTTCACATAACTATGATAGAAATGATCACTTATCAGCAGTAAAGGTCAGTTAATTATTGTATAGCTATTTTAAATGTAACACAAGACTATTCTTATTATTGATGACATTTATTCAATATTATAATTACGATACAATATAGAATTTTCAGTACAAAATATTTCAGCAAGTTACCTTCCCACATTTCTTGATCGATCCTGATGATAAATTTCGAGTGATCGCCAGTTAGATGTTAGCAGTTCAGCAATCGACATTTGAATAATGTTCATTCATTTTGATACATATTGTCAGCCATCATGATGTCTCTGATTGTACTTTTTTGTAGGTTGTACAGTGAAATTTTGTAAAGTTTTCGTAAACGTACCTGAATAAGTTATGCAGTCGATAGACATAATGATATGTTAGAACAAACGAGGAAACAGACAACGTGTTGAAATATCTATATGGGCGGAGCAAGTAACCCTATAACCTATTAAAAAAAACTTAGCTCTTGTGCATCCTTATCGATAATGAAAACATATTTTCATATATAGCATTATTTGTTTTGTTATTTTACAGGCCACCAAAACAATCAAATCCTTCAGCTATAGGAAATCAATCGATATTTTTCAATTCACAAAAAATAACAAATGAAAATGATATTACAGATTCTGAAACTCCTACTACTGAATTTACTGAAAGTTCAAAATCACATAAAAGTATATCACAAATTAATGTATATCGAAAAGGTAGAAGTTTAAGTCCAGCTGATATAACTAATTTCAGAGAATCAAAATTTCATTTCAGTCCAAAACCACGTTTTTCATTAGCTGAATCTGATGAAATGAATAATCAACCTATTGAAAATAGTCAATCATCTGGTTTTCGTGATGTGGTAAGTTGAATTTGTCATTAAATTAAGATAACCTATTCGATAATTATATCAAATTTATATAATATGCAATGGGTGAAAAAGCTTTAAACCTAAACAAATAACAAAGATGGTTAGTGGCTAGCAGTGGAATCCAGGACGCACGTTTCGTCCTATTCAGGACTCCACTGTTAGCCACCAACCATTTTTGCTTGTGACTTAAAGCTATATCGAGTTAATCCTCACAGGATGCACATATGCCAACATAAGACTGACCAATTACAGTCCCAAATAACAATGAGAAGATACAAGTAAAACAACATCAAGTGAATCTAAACAAATAACGTTTCAATTACATAATCAATCTATAATAATAAAAGGAACAAATTCTAATCTCCTGAGAGATTTAAATTAAATCTTTTTATTTGTTACATTAAAATCATTTTGTATAAGTGAATTTTCAAAATTAGTTTACAGAATAAATTACACATGATGAAGAAGAGAAATGAATAAAACAAGCAAACAAACAAACAAATCAGTGGCTAATCCTATTTGAAAATAAGAGATATAAACAATAGAAAACCATTACTAATGTTACAAGTTTATTTATTATGTCTAGTAAATTCATAATGTTTATGACAAATACGCGTAAAGCCATATTATCAATAAACGAAGTAACTTTGGTTGAATTTTTATTTTAAACATTAATGATACACAGATTTAATGTTCATGACAGTAAGTACGAGATTTTCATATCATTACTTTTACTTACTGTACTTACGCCTGTTAATCCCAATCGAGCATAAGTCGCCGACAAGCATTCCCCAACCCACTCTGTTCTGGGCCTTCCTTTGCAGTTCTAACCAATTTTCTTATCATGATCTAACAAAAAGGAATTCAATATAGGGTTGTAGAGATTATTAAGTTCTCGATTGAGATCATTAGCCGAGTGATGTTAGACCACCATTGAGGATCTGGTAACACTGGAATGTCGTTTCGTCCCATTTTGGGACTCTTCAGTGGTGCGTCCACGCTCCTACGCGCGGGATTCGAACACAGGGCCCTCGGTCTTGCGCGCGAACGCTTAACCTCTAGACCACTGTGCCGACCGACATCCAACGGTGTTTATTCATGACCTCGACCAATACACGAAGTCGCGTGACCATCTTCCATTGTACTAAGGTAGATACCTAGCTATACCCGACACAGATCAGCTCCACTGGTCACGGCTAAGGAGTCCCAAAATGGGACGAAACGGCCGTTCAATGCTTCCAGGTTTTTAATAGTGGTCTAACATCAATCGGTTCATGATCTCAGTTAAAAGCTTAATAATCGTCACATCCCCATACTGATATTTACCATGTGCTCACTAGTGACTAGCTTCGTGAGAGTGCTCGCAGAGTTCTAGTGAGAAGTCGTGACCAACGGAGCTAATCCTTGTTGGGTAGAGACAGGTATCTACCTCAGTACAATGGAAGATGGTCGCGCGATTTCGTGGATTGGTTGAAGTTAGATATTAACACCGTTGGATACCGGCTTAGTGGTTTAGAGGTTTCTCTCCAGGGGTAAACATCAATTCTAGGATGCAGGTATATCCACCTAACGAGTTCTAATTAGAATGAAGCACTTGTTTTAGATTCCACTGCTAGCCACATCTATCTCTTCCTGAAAGTGACCAAAAATATTCGAAAATTGAATCAGTCTAAAGTGACTAGACTAGAAATGTGTTTTTGGAGACCAACAATCAGAAGTCCTAACTGGTGTAGTTTAACCATGTTGAGAGTTATATATGTATCATTATGATCACCGAATCATCATCATACCATAACTCGAATAGAATCAGACTGAAAAATTGCCGTACCAGATTCTAAATTACTAGTTGGAATTTATCGTGACTGCAATTTAGGTATTCAGGCCCTGAGTACAAATATGTATTACATAATTAGTGAACATTACTAACGAGCCACAAACTAGGAAGAAACAATATTCTGAGCCTCTATAATTTTGTTGTGGCTCACCAAGTGATGCTAATTAGTGATAAAAACCATCTATCGACGAAGATCTAATCTATCTGTGATTTCAATAAATCACATGTTATCAATTTCCAACTGGACACATCACAATAACTTGTTAGGAAATGAAAACGGAAATCCTGGTCATTGATTTACCTAATCCATGGCTAAATATAAAAATAAACGTCCCATCAAACCACAGAAAGTGATTATATAGGTGATTGGATAAACTAAATGTTCACTACTTGATAATGTTTTGGTAATCAGTCATTTGAGGTCATATCACATATAATAAAACTGAAGGCTTGCATGCGTAACATCGAGAGTAAAACCTTTAGATCAATAAGTTTGCATTCAGTGATTCACAGTTTTAACTCTTCTAGCTACTTATACTGTTATGAATTTATTCCACTAACTACGAATCTGCTAATACTGTTTATTGTAAAATCCAACGATCGATATTCTTGGCAAAATCCTTCACTGTTATTCTAATTAACAATCAGAATATCGGAGAAACTGTCTAAGTGCCCCATATTATTATGTATTACTCGGACTTTAAAATTCAAGACCTAGATACATCATTTATAGTAATTTGCAATATTCTTATAACCAGTACATTTATAGTATAAATTTGTAAAACAGGTTAACAATTTATTAACGGTAATATTTTTGACGGGGAAGACAATAGCATTAGTTAATGAGTCAAATGGAAGCCTACAATGAATAGAATACGAAAATATCATAAACAAGTTGTTTGATAAATACACGTTTCAAATATAGATACTAATGCTTAATAGAATTGCATCTGAAGTTATACATTTTTGATAATTCGAGTTCCTCCCCATCGTCTTAACATAGTTAATATTTAATTTTTCGAGAGTCTCTATGATGGTAAGACTGAAGTATATGACCGAACCAATTGAATTACAGAATTTCAATTCAATAATTTATAGGTAACATGCTCGTATTGAGCTTGAAATTATTGGGTTTGATTTCGTGAGAGGATTTAGGTCCTCACTGCTCAAGAGGATCATGAATTAGTTATCCAGCTTTATCTAGTTTTCTGTAAATTTCCATTAACCTTAACTCAAAATTACTTAAATTATTTAGATATACTTCATTCATGTGATTGAATAGCAATCAAAATTTTATTATTATTTTCCGTATCACGGGTAAACTGTAAAAACAATGGAGTGAAATGAATTATCTTTTCGAATTTTCATCTTAGTTTAGTGTATAAAAACATGATTGATTGGGAGATTGTTGAAAAATTACTGTACGTTTGGATTTCAGGAAGAGTTCTCACATGACTCAAGAATACTCTGTATTGATGAGTGTTTTAGCTCACGCGACATCTAGAGAGATAGTTTCATGTGATTTATCTCTGATCACTGGGTTCTAAATCATAATTATGTTATTCGTTTATAATTTAAAGTTTCCTTTCTTTTTTTTCTTTCACACATGTAGATTATTGACTGTAGTTCACTGGAAAGTGCTATCAGTTATCCAGTACAAAACTCTTGTTCACATTTGAATGACAGTAAAAATCTAGACAGTTCATTAGAGAGTCGAACATATCAAAGTTTGATGTCAGTTTACTTAAATGATGTTGCACAAAAAAATCGAATTATCACTCCTACAGTTACGATTACTACTACCAACAGCAATAATACTGTTAGTGAAAATAACACTAGTACTATTCAAAATATCTCTTTGGATAATAGTAATTATAATAATGTTATCACATTATCCCCATTAAATCTACCAAAAACTGACACAGACATTTTCAATGATGAATTATACAATACTGAAAAAATGAATTCATTTGAAAGTAATCCATTGAACTTTTCTGTCAGTACTGATCATGATCACATAGAACAGCATAATAATTTCACTTATGATCTCCAATCACCAGTGATCAAAGAAAAACCTAAACGTCCAGTTTTATGCTTATTTAGTGCAAATAAATACAATCAAAAAAGACATTTTAAACGTAATAATTCAATCAATATTGATGATAATAATAATGATGATAATAATAATAATGTTGAGGATGACAACAATAATAGTAATATTCATGATACTAAACAAGATATTGATGTACGACGTTTACGTCAAGGTACAAATATTTCCACTACAAAATTATCAGTTAATAATCAATTAAATAGAATCACTGGAAGTAGTAATAATATCAATATTAATGATAATATTTGTAATCATAATTTAAATTTATTATTATGTAATACAAATGAGTGTAAAAGTTGTGTAAATTTACAAGCATATGAATTATCACAAGATCGTTATCGTAATCCAAGTAGTGGATCAACTGTTAGTCAAATACCAAGATCTGATTTACCAGATGTTTACCTTAATGTAAGTTATCAATGTATGTTGTGAATTTGTTACAATTAAGATCTATTTATCTAGTTACATTATTGTTATTATTGTGTTTTTTTTATAACAAAACTTAAGTAACAATGATTTTGAGGCTGTTAAATTTTGTATTTTGTTTTCATTATAACTGATGAAAATGATTATTGCTTATTGCGTTTGAGCCAAAATGTATTGGGTTTGAGTTCCAGTCTGACTATCAATACTATAGTGTATGTACATCCATCTTATGAATCGTATATAGGCTGAAATGTGCATTTTGAATTCTATGTAAAGGTTGGTACTATGTCAAGCCCATATAGGTTATTCTAGCCTCATTCTTCTCAAGCCACATTCTTACCCCGTCAATTATTCACCCATTAATCCCGACTATTTCTTTATATGACCGTATGTGTGTTAATTACTTACCCTAATCATCATGTGTCTGTAACTTATTTTATTTGACTAGAAATATCGATGCACGCTTTATTAAGAGGAGTTGGCTCACTCATCTTCTCCATTGCGCACCATTTCATTTTGCTTCGCTTCATTCGCTGACTTTCTCTAATTGTCTGTTCTGAACGAAGATTGTAGAAAATATACGTATCAAAATTCATTCTACCATTTGGTTTAACTTCATTATTCACTAACGAGGATTAAGTCGATGATAACAAAAGAGGGAAGCTGGGATAGATACCTCAAAAACTTCATCATACGATTCAATTGGAGTTAGAAAAAATCATTAAAGTGGTAAACTCGACGTGACGATATGAAATTGACGTGATGATGAGAATATATTGATTATTACATTCATAATCGAACGATCCGCCAAATAGATCAGTAAGCAGAGTTAACAACAGGACAATGAGTCAATCAGTGTACGAAATATACGTATTCAAACTTCATTCTTATATTTAACTTATTTAATTCCGTCATTTACTAACGCGATTTAAGTCCATAATTATATACGACTGTTGGCAGTATGTATATTTCGATAGCAATCATTCATATGATCAAACTGGAGTTAGATACAGGGTCACTAAATCTACCCCCAGCCACCCTCCAAATCTGGTCAAAAGAATTAAATAAGATGTTGCAGAAGAATGATTTTCTTGGAGTTTCATTCTCTGGGATGGGTAGTTTAGACGTGTTTGATGGATGAAAATAGATTGAATTACACAATTCAGAGAATGTAACTATACCAAAATCCGGGATCCATGCATAATACCTACTACAAATTAATTAGAACAGAAAAACATTAGGCTATTAGTCATAACAGTTAGTTTTAATTAATTTTTGTTAACAATAACATATGCACACCTGTGTGTTCGTATGAGCTAATGATTCTTTTTGTACTTGATGTGTGCCTAAGTTTGAATTCCAAATACAATACGTTTGTTGGTACTTACCTAGTTCTACTGATTTAAATTGTGTTATTTTGGGGATTCCTAGTTTGTTTAATAATTCAAATACTTTTAAATATCACAATACCCTAACCGAATGATGAATAATTGAATAAGGTAGAATAGAACAACTGTACAATAATTAATGTTTCTTAATAGTGTTTTTGTTGACAATGGTCTTGATGACGACATTAAAGATTACCAGCATTTTCCCATTTTCAACTATCTAGAGTAAATATATAATGCAGGTATGCAAACTTGTAAGAACTCACCTTAAGCATATATATGTCAGCGAATAAGGAAACGATTTTCGTTCGGTTTCAATAGAAAATGCTCGTATGTCAGTTCGTCTTCTCGGACACATAAACTTGGTCAAAGGATAGAATTTCATATGCACTTTGAAAAATTTCATTTATAGTATATAGCACCTAAGATACAAAAGAAACAATACTTAATGAGTGAACATTCAATTAATTTAATATGCACTGGATAGCTGTTTTGTCCTAGTATGGGACTTCGTAACTCTACCCTGGATCGATATTTTTATCTAACTTAGTCAAATGAACCTATATATATACCACTGGACTCCGGTTGATTGGTCTGTAGGCTAACCGTTCGTACTCTGGAGCGAGGGTTCTGGATTCAATCCTATGTGGTGGAGTTGTTGGTGAGTACAGCTGAGTCCCGTAGTAAAACTATGAGGCCCTCGAGTGCCTACAGGTTTTTAATAGTTATCTAACTTAGATTAGTTTGTGATTTTAACAAGCAGAACAACGCGTCTATTATTAAGGAAGGTGTGGTTGCAGACGCAGAAAGCAGGTTTATTCAGCAGTCACAATAAGTTCCAGACCGTGGTAACTTAAGTGTTGTTTGACAACGATGTTCATTACGGCTATCTAAATTGAAAATTATAATAATTATTTTTCATTCATACTTTCATTGACTATGCTTGATGACCCTGAGCTCAAAGCACGAACTGTAAACCACCGAACAAGATAATAGCTACAGATAAAATGACGAATATAGGGAATTTCTAGCTAAAGCTTGAAACATTAGTACTATTGAATAATACCAATTGTATTAGTAAATCAACTCGCTTGATATACACTTAACAGCTGGATAGTATACCACCTTGGAACAGAACAAAGTATAATGTATCATTTGGGAATAGCTAGAGCTGTTCTACTATATATACATTGTGTTAGAATTTGATGCTCTACTTATCGTCTTGGAATACCTATTTTTATTATCATTATTTTCTGTCTACTTATAATTAATAAGTAACATAAAAATGTTCTTTTGGTTGTGATCATGAATCGATGAATGTTAGACAACCATTAAAAACATGAAAGCACTGGAAGCCCGTTTCGTCCTAGTACGGGGCTTCTCAACAGTGCGAATCCACGATCGTGGGTGAGCATGATTTTGATCAAAATACTTAACAAATTTTACAACCCCCACTGATAAAAATTTTCTTCAAATACGTTAGCTACCTAATTAACTGACTAATATAAATTTTTTTTCATTTAAAGCCACCATCAATGTCTACTCTACAGTCTCAACGAAGCAGTTTATGTGGCAGAAGTAGGATGGAATTGTTATATGTGGATAACGAACTAGATAGAAACAACAATCCTAGGTGCAAACTTAGTACAAATGGAATAATTAGTGCATCAAACTTGGGAGAAAATTTATCAGACGTGATTGACTCTGATCACCGTTTCTCTGCGCAGCATACAAACGGAGATGGTGACAATTGGAGCTTGGTCGATGAGTTGGTTATTTTTCCTCAACCACAGACTCTCGGACTGGTACGTAATCAAACGTTTAATGCAAGAAACACATATCATCAACCACTACCTCAATCATCTTCAAATTTGGCGCCATCCTTTTTTAAACCATATCAACTAACCGATGATAATTTCGGTAATTTACCTGTTAAAGATAAAGAGCATCACATTAGTATACAACAACAACTTAGACGAGCACTGAGTTTATCATCTAGACGTAAATCACCTCGTTCATTAAATGAAGAAATTCAACTAATCATGGATAAACACTACGAAATGACAGGAATTAGAATGACAATTGGTAGTGGGTCATCGCAGAAGAATTCGACGACTACCAAGTCCTATATAAATTTATTTGGATTGCAGACAGGCAATAAAACCCAACCATCTAGACCAAGAGTAAGTTTAAAACTTTTCATTTTTTTACTGGTTGAAATCATGAGCCAATTGAAGCCAGACCACTATAGGAAACCCGAAAGCACTGGACTGCCGTTCCGTCCCAGTATGGGTCTCCTCATCAGGGCGCACCCACTATCCCGCTCCCCGTGAGGTTCGAGCCAGGACCTATCAGTCTTGCACCAGGCGCTTAACCAACCAGACCACTGAGCCGGCCTCCAACGGTGTTAATGTATAACTCCAACCAATTCACGAAATTGGGCCACCATACACTATTGTCTTCAGTGAGCTGATATCTCACAACAGACCTGGTCGTGGATGCGCACTGCTGAGGAGTCCCATACTAGGACGAAACGGCCGTCCAGTGCTTCCAGGTTTTCCATGGTGGTCTAGCTTCAATTGACTCATGATTTCAACCAGTGAAATTTTCATTTTTTGTATTTTTCCCAATTACATCAGTCAATCTTATACGCTGTGTCAAATAAGTTTTCTCGTAGAACGTTTTAACGGAGCTGTCGTCAAAGTTAAACTTTTATATAGTCATACTTTGTTCAGAAATTTATGGTTTAAAGATCACTTCAAAGATAATTTCGTCACGAATTAATATCCTGTGAAGAACAATTAAAAACCATGAAGTAATGGATACCTGTTTGGTGTGGGGTTTCTTAACTGTGTACACCCACAATCCCTCTAAGAACCAAACCTGAAGCCTGCCGAAAATATAACTAGAGGATCAGTGAGTTGAAACCTGGTAGTGTGTGAATTTAACCTTCATTCAATTTCGTGATATTACACTACAATCCCATTAGTAAACAAATAGCTTATTTATGAAATAGTCTAACTTAAATAATCAAGATTTCTCATTAGAACTTAATGAATTTATTTCGAAACCAATCATTTGATTTGGATAACATTTGAAGATAATAATTACATAAGTTGCCGTGGATCTGGTTTTTCCTATCCGACTTATTTCACTTAAGCTTATTTTACCAGAAAGAATAAGTGCAATTATAAATATTATATTACAACGTAACTTGTTTACTAGCACTGTAGGAATACTAACCATTCAGTTCAATAAGTACTAACAACAATCGATTACGGTCTATGGAACACATCAATTTAATGAAGAAAAATCATATTAATCACTTTTGTAAACCATAATACAATTGGTCTGATATTGTTAAATGTGCATAACCAACCATTTATTGAGCGAAGTCATATGAAAGAGTTTACTGAGTTAGTGAAGACCTAAATGGAATCTGTATAAATACTCTATGCTACATTGATGAACCATATGTAAACTCATAAGTGTATCAATACCTCGGAAATGATCAAATTTATGAAATGATTATCCTATCCATATTTAAACCAAAGTTAACAACATGTTATTGGCCTACTCTGGCCATGAAATTGATCAATTTGTTTACATTAAGTTTTAGTATTATTGATTTACTCCACATGCTTACTTCTAATTAATAGGTATTCTGATGTGCAAATGTATCATAAAACTCCTAGTAAGATAAACTATGATTAACCATTGTCACGTAAATTATAATTAATTATGTTATAAACGTCATACCAGTTGAAAAAATTGGTGACTATCCGGATTCAGTAATTAAATGGACAACGCGTCGGTGTTTGAAGCAAACTGTACTGGATTTAAGTTGTAGGGGTTGGTACTATTTCAAGCCGACATATATTATTTTAGTCTCTGGACAGACCAATCTATTATTTCTTCTCAAGCCTCGTTTTTACCCTGTCACTTATACACTTATTAATCCTGAATGCTATTTATAGGATCGTATGTATGTTAGTTACTTATCCCAATCATCATGTGTATGTAACCTATTTTTGTTTGACTATAAATATCGATTCACGCTTGATTAAATGGATTTGACTCACTCGCCTACCCCACTTCGCATCATTTCGTGTCGCTTCGCTCTCTCCTCTTCGCTGTTTTGCTTCTTATTCTAAATATGTCTGGATAAACGAATGTCTGAAATAAATTCCTCCAACGACACCCGTATTTAGCTTCTTATCACCGCCGTCATACGTATCAGACTAGCCTAGGTAATATATGGAGTTAAATGAAAGATTTATATTCATAACATATCCATGTGTTCGTCCACACTTGAGTCAGATCAGCCAGCTCCACAAATTTGTCCCAAAACTAAGTATCAACACTAGGAAGAAGGTACATCCAATTAAACGAATCCCAAATAAGATAAAACGTTCGTCCTAGATTCTACTTTTTGCTACAGTTCATTTATTCTAAATAATAGTATTCGTAATTAATTTGTTCATCAAATTTATAGTTTTCATTATCCTACTTCCTTTTCTTTTTCACCTTACACAGAAACGTCGATGCAGTTGGACATTTACTAAAGATATTACTAATGAATTTCAAACAAGTTTAAAAAATGTTTCAAGTGCATTACATTTAGATTGTCCTACTTTTGATCTATTTCAAAAATTTAAACATAATCGTGAAAAACCATCTGTACTTGAATCATTATCTATGACCGCTTTACCATGTCTTATACCATTAAGACCACGTATTCAATCTGATGCAACAAATGATATGACTTCTATTAATAAAGAATTTATAACAAGACAATCTGAACAAAAATTTCATTCTGATTTAAATAATATAAAATTAATTGATTTCAAACGAAATAGTATAGTGACGAATGATAAAAGTGTAATTATATTTGGAATTCAAAAAAATATTAGACTTGTGAAAAGTAATTGGAATTTAACTAATCTATGATCTTGATAATGTAATAAGAAGACAAAGATGATCAGAATTAATGTGATGATATATTAACGCAATACCTTTTGAACAATCTGATCACACGCATATACTTGTTAAGAACATTTATATAAAAGGTTATCTAGACAATAAATGAAGAGTAAGAGGAGACAAAGATAATAATAAGAGTAATAATAATGTGAACACAATTTGAAATCTAATCACTCTGGATAATAAGTCAATATTACCAGGGTAGGTTTATTATCCAGAGTGATTAGATTTCAAATTGTGTTCACATTATTATTACTCTTATTATTATCTTTGTCTCCTCTTACTCTTCATTTATTGTCTAGATAACCTTTTATATAAATGTTCTTAACAAGTATATGCGTGTGATCAGATTGTTCAAAAGGTATTGCGTTAATATATCATCACATAAATTCTGATCATCTTTGTCTTCTTATTACATTGTCGAAATTTATCAAAGGGACTAATTACTTTAATCTATGATCAATTACATATTTCATTACATCATTACGTCATATACATACATATGCAGCATACTATGTAGATACATTTTTCTTTTTGAAATATACAAAGGACAAAATTGTACAAAATCTGTCAATGTTTTAATAATGATATTACTTTCATATTAAATATGTTATTGTTTAACTTGTTCATCATATCTATGATCAATTATTCTAGATTATTATTCAGCGCGGTATTCAATATTATATCTTGTCATAATAGTTGATTTTTTTTATGTATTTCATTTACTGTTGTAAATAATAATTTTTAAATAAAATCTGCAATTTAAATTTATAGCCAATCTCTTTTTTCTTTTGTACATATTGGGAAGTAGAGATTTTGTGTTAAAGAGGAAGAAGATAAGAATTCTTAGGTTTCATTAGATCTTTGTAATCTTTGTGAGATAGATCTCATCGAAGGCTAACTTGAAATAAACAATTATTAAAAGTAGAGAAAGTTAAGATAGTGATTGGATCTAGTTGACATAGAACACTTCACTTAGGCTTACTGATATCTGGTACTACTTGTTAGCTAGACGTAACGGTAATCTTGAAGGAACTGATGATTCCTGGGGGGGATTATATCCCGCATCACCTAGCTTCATAGTCAGAGATCCACCATTGATCGATTCTAGAAGTGACTGACTTTTTCAGGACTCAGATATGTTTACATTTAGTTGACCACTCAATCGTTGTGCTCTCAAGTCCTTTTTATTGTTAATCGAATTCAATAGATTAAGTTACAATGTATACATTAGCGTAAGTGAATTCACGGTCCAAGGTTTCCTGTAGACTACAACCAACCATCACATTACATGTCAACATAGTGCACACTATGTTGAGTCATTTAGATTTATAGCCATACTGCAGCTTGATCGATAGCATTAGATCAACACCAAGAAGGAATTAACATACATGATATTGGTCACTTACTCAGTGATTAGCCAGTTGTAAACAGAGAGGACTAGATATCTATTTGATATTCTTTTTGATCTCAACAGTGAGATCATGACTCCATAAGGGTTTGGACAGAAGAAAAATCAGATTTCACAAGAAAGATGAAACCAATGACAGTCAAATAATATTATGGATTGACTAAGGTTAGAAACAAGAACAATCAAACATCAACTCCGTGGTCTAAAGATAACGAACCCGTTATGAAACATAGAGATCTTCAGTTCGATCACTGAAAAGATTATGATTGTGCACCGCTAGTGAGCTCTACATCAAAATAAAACAACTGTCCAGTCCTTTCTGGTTCCAAGTGTTTTACAAGTCGGTAAGGCCGACTATAAATAAGAAGACGGTTCTCGTTATGCATCTCATATAGCTCAACATTTAGACTGATGATAAATTCTTTCTATTCAACACTTCTGAATTTACTTAAAAACTGTCCTCCTAAATATAATATATCATGAATTATTAAACATATGCTGAAATACAGAAAACGGAAAATACTAAATACTATTTTGCATAATCCTCAATATTGGTCGAATTCCATATCAGATAATTTCGTAGGTAAACTATAAACGTAACTGATTGAAGGACACTTTATAATGGCTGATCAACGTGTGTATTTCAATGCTAGAGAAGTTTATATAGTATCCTTGTAATATTACAAACATCTCATAATAAATTAGATAGTAGTTCCTATCTATTGTGGTAGATATATTAGCATAACATTATATTCAGCATCTAGTTTCAAGGTGAAACTCTATATTATGAATTACTCATTAAGATAAATTAAGAATCGTATAACTTTTGTTAACAAATTCTAATTTTTAAACACTGATGACAAATGTATTTATAGAACATATGAATTTCGGATAGTGTAATGAGTAGACGAAGATTATCAGAACTATGTGATACAATAGCGCAATATATTTCGAACAATCTGATCACAGTTATATATATTCAGTTGGGCCAGGGTAATTTTACGGTGGTTTTCAGGAGAACTAGACACCATCCAAACTTTTACGTGACACCCCGAGCAGTACAGCTCAAGCCCGTTTAACACGAGAGCCAAACAATACCCAGGCTTAAAATTTGTAACCCAAATAGTAAAGCTCGATCCCGTTTCACAGAAGAACCAGACACCATATAGGCTTTAACATTACAATCTGAATAGTACAGCTTAATCTTGTGGCGCAACCACACAGGTACCAAACACCCTAGTGGACCATTCGCAACATTCATATACACATTCACGTCATATGTATAATTATTCCGATCAACGATCGCGTGAATCAATTATGCACGGCGCGACACAGTCTAAAGTTGACCTATTCCGCTTACACGACAATCGAACTCAATAATGTTTGCAATGGCGATATGCCTTACAATGTCCCAGTGACAATGGCCTTTGAGAACACTGAAAGGTAACCACCAGGATGAGTGAAATTGCTTAACCAGAAAACCAATTTTTCTCACAAACAGTCAGCAAGAATGGCCAAAGTAATGCCGAACCATCCACAATATTAATGGTGAGCCTCCAGTCTCATATGAGATCTTCAGCTCTACAAAGTAATATACTTATTAAAAGCATTACATATAGAAAATTATAAAGTCAATAAAAAAAGTGAAAGGTAAGAAGAAAGAAAGATCATAAAAATATAATTCCAAAAACAATCTACAATTCACCACACTGAATAATAGACCAATATTACTAGGGTAGTCATAGGATGCGAACATATAGTTCCGATAATCTTCATCTTCTTATTATATTTATCAAAAGAACCAATGATTTTAAATAAGATTTTTGACTAAATTAATTATAATTTTTTGTTAAAAAAGTACTTTCAATGTAGATCTTGATTGATAGACTATTCAGAATGCAAATATATTGTTGTAATATATTCTCGAATCATATTACTTGTCGGTAAACTGTAAGATTTGAGTGTTAAAAGTTGTATAATCTAACTCAGTCGAAGATTTTTGTCACTATATATGACGGAAGCTTACTTCTCCATTCATTCAATACTAGCTGCTTCATTGATGTCTTCATGCTCAGTGTAAAACTGTAAAAATTACACAGAACATGAAAGTGAGTAGTTACTTCAGTACATATTATACTAGGATGGAACGGCCATCCAATGCTACCAGGTTTTTAATAGTGGTCGAACACAGATTGATTCATGATCTCAAAAAAAATTTAGTAATCTCTAAAACCCTATACAGAACATTAAATATTTTCCAAGTAACATAGACTAGAATTCATAGATCTATCTACCACATTGTTTTTATCGTATTACCTGCATGATTGTTTGCACTGTTTCGTGAGTTCGCATCTTAAGATTTGCCTATTTATATTTCATTTAAAATATCAAATTTTCTACGCCTTAATTTATCTTCAAATAGTCGTGACTAAAGTAGTCAGAAGAATAGAAGTGACTGTTTATCGACTAATTAATTCTTTTCAATTTTTGTTTCTAATATTTTGAACTATTAAAAGGTTCTTAATTTCATTCAACACTAAGGTGTCACGATCTTTCTAATATGACAAGCACACAAACACATACTCAGAAACCAAGAGAGAGAGAGAGAGAGACTTGCACGCACAAGTAACAATATGAGAATAATAGTTAAAAGTAGCTAAAAGTTGAATAGAAAAAAGTTGTTATAAATACACGCATTTTGTAAATTTATTATTACAGTGAAAGTAAGTGGAATCCTACGTGTGTGTGTGTGTGTATGTGACTGAATGAGAGGGAAACTAATGAAAAGAAAATAATCTCACCAAAAACAGTATAGATAAAATATGACACGAAATGAATAGTGGAAAATATAATGACATAAGAAATAATGACAAGAATTATATTCTTTGATATGAGATATGATCTTTTATTCTAAGTATACTGTATAGGGAAAAATCTGTTATATAATTAATCACTATGAAGATAAATTTACGTCATAATTTATGTGTATGTATATTCATGAATGATCACAATTAATGAATCTTAAACAGTAAATATTAAAATATATTCAATATTCTGTGATATACAATGGTACTCCAAAGGAAATTGATTCTTGATTAAGTTTATTCATAATTAGCAGCTTAGCTACCTAGTATGAATTGAGTAATGAATATATATATGTTCATTATTTTAATCAATAGTCATTCATTACACCTTATTCTAGAGGAAAGCTCTAACACCAAAACATTGTATATGTTGCGTTATGGTTAAATCACGGGACAAATAGACAAACAAGAATTATGGATCTTTACTAATCTAATATCACTATATTCGATAAAAAAATTATCTTTACACATAGTAAATACTACAGTGATTAATCAATTGTGAATACATCTCAGTCCTACAGGAGGTCGGTCGTGGCCTGGATAGCTCAGTGGTAACGTCTCTGACTGTGAAGCTGAGTGACACGAGATTGAATCCATCAGGGAGCACCAGTTTCCTCAACATTACAGGTACACCTTGCTTACGAGTGCCAAATAGCACGAAACCTGGGTCCAGGGTTTCCTGTTGACTACCTCTTACCACCATTCTAAAGACAATTTTATCAAACTTAAATCAATGATGTATACAACACGTTAGATTATATTGTTATTATTATTATTATTATTATTATTATTATTATCGTAAGAGAATGTTTTTGACAACTTTTAGTGTCATTGGAAAATGCTAGTTAAACACCAATTCAAAATTAAGTTAAAAATTATTTCTTTCCCAACAAAGGGTTGTGGAGTTTGTTGAGCTTAGATTGATATCATGGTAATTATCATGTACTCACTAGTGACTGGCTTCAAAATAGTTTTCCTGGAGTTCTAGTGAGAAGCCGTGACCAGTTGAGTTCAACCGTGTCTGTTATGTGGCAATCACTCACTGAAAACAATGGAGGACGGTCGCACAATATGGTGGATTGGTTGAAGTTAGACATTAGCATTATTGGATGCTGGAGCAGTGGTCTAGAGATTAGACGTTCATGAGCAAAGCTTGAGGTCCTGGGTTCAGATCCCGCATGTGGAGTTGCGGAGACTAACTGGAACGGCCCTCAGTGCCTCCAGGTTTCAATTGCCATCTAGCAGTGAACCAATTATTTCCTTATCAATTATATTGAATAAACCTTATTGGTTGTAATTTGCCAAAAATTTTATTCATCAGATGAATGTACATGTATCCAAAGATTGAAGTTGACTCTGGGATACAAGTATATCTATCTGACAAGTCTTAAATGGGGTGAAACAAGGGTTCTGGATTTCACTGCCAGCCACATTCCATAATGGCTATATCGAGGCAATCCATAGAGGTTGCACTTATGCTAAGTAAGACTG